GAAACGTCGGACACACTACAAAATATATGTATATATGTACTTATAAATGATCAGCATGATAAGCTGTGTCAAATTATGCGTCTGTCTGTATATATACAAATTAGTACCTTAGTTTTTGAGATATCGATCGGAAATTTTTCACCTGTCCTTTTCATATAGCTGCCATACAGATTTTTTGTGTGTTGGTGAAGGGTATTATAGCTTCTGTGTAACCGAAGTTACCGTTTTGTCTTGTTTTGGCTTCTATATGTACATGTATGTATTCTCCAAAAATTTGATTTTGATCCGGCAAATAGTTTCGGGGATACTATGATCGAATTTGTAGGAATTTTTTAAGTTAGAGTAAAACCTCCCACAATTTTAACCACGATTTTCTCGAGGCTATGTTTTCAGATTTTGACAGTAATTTCGAATTTTTAAACTTTTTCACACAAAATATACTAATAATATACTCCTATTTTGACTAATTTTTCGATCATTTCCTGTATTCATCTATAGCAATACTAAATTTTTTTGTTTTTATATTTGAAATAATTTTAAGCAGAAGTCTTCTATACCGCAAGACTCCTTTTTTCGGAGGTACCCCTGGAGTTCGGCTACAGGAATCCAAATTTTTACAAAATTAATCGCCGATTATTAGAAACCACTTAGAATTTAGATATATTGTCTTCAGATTCAGTATATCTTTTCTACTGCACCGAATAACTGTTTTCTTATGTTGCTTAACTGTAAAAAATGCTCAAGCTTGAATATTCACTTAGAACTTTATCGAATTAAAAACAAAGCGCTTCTTTGAGAAAAATATGCCTTACCGGTGTTGCCAACATTATACAAACAACCATAATGTAGGTGTAACGCTGACAAACAATTTACCATATAACACAACAACAACAACAAGACAAATAAAAAATGCAAAAAAACTTGGTTGGGAACAGCGAAAGATATTGAGTGCAGGAAATGGAGAGAACAAACGACAAAAGAGCAGGAGGCGAAGGGGTAGGATGCAACATTTTGTGGCTTCCTTGTTGATGCTGACTTGTTAAATAAATGTTTGTTGCAAATTTTATTTGCATTGTACAACCACGCGTTATTTGCACAACAACAACAACAACAATAACAGTAAAACATATATTTGTTTGCAGTGCAACGTGTTGGCAGCCGCGATGGCCAGTGCAGGAAGAACCGGGAAGAAGGGCCGAAAGAAATCAGCAAAACAGCACAAACTAAGCGCAAACAAATTTGCACTGATCTGCGAAAAGAGCAGCGAACAGGCAGATGGCACGAAAAAAAACCAGGAAAACAAAAGCAACAAAAAAAAAAAAAACAAGACAGATTGGTATAAGAACTGACTAACAGCGAAAGGCTGCGGTGAGGTGAGGAGCAGACTGGCGCAGTGCTTGGGAGGCGTGTTGCGCATTCCCAAAGAAATTGCTGCCTTTGTATGGAGTCATGTTGTTGATGAGGAGCTTGTGCAACACTCCAGTTTTGCTTGCCACTTGCTTTTTGTTGTTGTTGCTGTTGAAATTTTTGCGAAACAAACTCTGACAACAGTAATGGAGCGGTAAGAAATAAAAGACGAAAAATAAAAACAAATTACAACAACTTGTTGCATTCTTTTAGCTGCCTCAGTCGGCTGCAAGAATGAGCTGTTAGAAAAATCTGACAGACTTGCAACATATTTGCAACAACTATAAAAATGCGTGAGCTTCATTAAAAAAGTAGGCGAGTAAAAAAAAACTCAAAATATACAACAACAACAATAAGCGCTGTGCACAAATGTGTTGTAAGTTCCACCCACCTCGACAACGCTTCGCACACCAATTGATGAGTTGCGTCGCTGCGGTAGTCATGGGTTGCCACATTCATAATTTCACATACATTTTTACTACATTTCTCTGCTGTTGTTGTTATTTTAGTTACATTCCAGTTGTAATGAGCATGTACTTCTAAGAGCTCATAAATATATATATATCTACACAAGCGTATATATGTATATACTTACATACATATATGGTATACTCCCTAAATAAATAAATATGAGTTTGTTGTTGTTAATGCATTTGCACTTGCTTCGGCCTCTTTTTCCATTTTATACCCTGAACAGGGTATATAAAGTTTACCATGAAGTTTTTAATATTCAGATGGAAACGTCAGAGTCCCAAATTATTCCAATCGGACTACTGTAACATATAGCTGCCATACAAACTTAGCGATTAAAACCAAGTTTTTGTATGAAGTTTTTGTATTTGTAAAGGGTATTATAGCTTTTTTCTTGTTTTTGTTTATAATTTTATTAAATTTTTATTCAAAAAAAATCGGCGCATACTTTTATTGCCTGGCTGCATATGCGCATGAAGGCATACATTGATTGTTGTATGCAACATCACATTTTGTTGTACAATCTTTTAATCTCGCGTTGGTGATCTTTATTACCAGGACATATATCTATAAACATATGTACAAGTATATGCAAATACACATATACACCTATACAGACACACACATACATATATGCATGTCGATCGTTGCTTCTCGGCACTGCCAACTTCTGTCTTCCGTCTTCTGGCTGCCACTGCAGTGGCGGTCAGTCTGTCTGTGCCGGTTTGGCACAATTGCCTCTTGGCTTTGCTTATCCTGCTCGTTCGTTGTCGTTTTTGCATTTTTCGTTGACTTTTATTTTATTTGCTTCTTCATTCATGCATTTTGTTTGTGTGTTGTTGTATTTTTCGCCGCTTGTGGACACATCATTTGCATAATTATTGAGTGAACTGCCGGAACTGTGGGAACAGCGCGCACTAAAGATGAATGAAGTCATTGGACAGTTGTCCAAAAGGCGAAATGCCGTATAAGATATGAGCAGTGAGCGAAGTCTACTGGGCAGACGGAAGCATTTGACAGCGCATAAGCTTGCAATATTTACTAGTTAAGAGGGCGATATTAAATTAACGAAAGTAAGAGTAAGCTATCAACGTGATATGCGTTTAAAGGCTCCTTTGGCATTATCCATGAGAACTCTCGGTTTAATGGCTTCAATTAATTTTGCTTTACAAGATCAATTAAGCTTTGTTTTAAGCCTAAGACATAGAGTCATGATTAAATTAAGATAATGTATTCTACTAATTGACTTACTAAGTTTACAGTGCAGCTCAATAGCTTGGCGATTGGTTCGGCACCGAATCCAATTTCGATGAACTGTTGCCAATATGCGCTAGTTTAGACTGGGAGGCAATTAAGCGATAAAGTTCTCTTCCGACTAACCGATTAGACGGCGCAGGAAATGTATAAATAAAATATTCTGCGACAGTTTTATGTTTATTTTGATATTTGGTTTCACTTAATGTTTCGATCTGGTGATAGTTAAAGAAAAACAAAAAACAAACGAATTGGAACTCATTTTTCATTCCACAATCGGTTCTATTCGATCGGTTAGCACTGCGTTGTTCCTAAATCGACGATCTGTACTGTCTTTATGTTTCCATTAGGTATAAAAGTTTTTAGAAAACATTTGTTTCGGTACAAAAGTCTCGAATAAGAGCTTATGGAATAGCGGGCTGGTAAACGACTCATCTGAGATATCATATGTGATATGAACTCAACCAAAGAGGTTAGCTTTCATATAATGGGTATACCAGAAAAAGGTTAACCAGAAAATCGGAAATTACAATACTTTATAAGGCATATGGGGTTTATACCAAGGTCAGAAAACATGTGCACCTTAAATCATTAAAATATCCTGCATTTTGACCAACATAAACGGTTTAAAGTCAGGTGGTAATGATGTCGTAGTGTAGTGATAGATTGGGACTAGAAGAAGAACAGATTGTATTAACTTTTGGCACTACTTAAGTTTAATCGAGAACATGTTTCCACAATTTTATGAGTATACATAATGCAAACACTTACCGACATATTCGGCATAAAACCTGTCAGAATCATTACACCATATGTAGTATATGGGAGCTGGGGTAATTCATGTACCGGTTTCATACATTTTAGCCATTGTATACGTTCATTAAACATTATAAATCCAACCAGAAGTTTGAACTTCTTATATTAGGTACTTGGGAGCTAGGCCATTTTTGTCACCAATAAATATTATTATCAAAGAAAGCCGTTCTCTGAGTTTAATTAAGATACCTCACAGATTGGCCAATATATAAAGTCACTCGGAAATTCGAAAATATCTAAATTAGATATATGGGGCTAGAGGAAGTATTGACTCGATTTTACCCATTTTTGATCCACGGGTACATGTTTATGAATGTTGTGAAATCCACGACAGATTTGCTTAGTTCTCAGAATTACAAACCAATTCCGATTTTCAATGGTGTCATATAACCTAATTAGATTTTCGGTTTTATAGTATATTTTGTTTTAAAATGTTGGGTCGTAGCCCCAAGCTTGAGGCCTATTTCCAAATTATTACTGATGATATTATCGGAATTAGCGGGATGGTTGTCGCTCATAGATATTATTAATTTGCTTACACTTTTTCTTTGGCTATAAGCGACTGAAAACCATATAGTCAACATAGGTTAGGTTTTTACAGATAAATACGGTAGGATAATAAAACTGGGAACCGTTGAAAATGAAAAACTAAAGCGGATAGCAAAGCTGATGCATGCTGATTACTTTTATAATGGATGGTAGATAGTTTATTTTTAATGATTATCAATTGCCACCATTATGTCATGGAATGTGAACTTTTCTTGTATGAATTTCGATCCATTAAACCCTTTGGGTATATTGTTAGTGTTAAAAAATTTTGGCTTGAATCGGGTAGGATTGGTGAAGTTAATTTTTTGTTTTTCTAGACACACATGCCAATTTTTTCGGACATTTCGACATTTTAGTAAAACCTTTCCAGTGAAATTTGCTCCAAGCAACATTAAAATAGAAATCTTATAGAAACTTAAGCTGATTTTGCGTTTCTAGGTCAAAATTCATAATAATAACAGTAATATTGCAACATTTTTACATAAATTATTTAAAATTTTCACTTACTTTTTTGTCTGAATATTCACACTTAGTAAAATTTAGTTGTTCTATTAAGCTTTCACAGCAACCAGTAAATTTTATATTTTCTGTAATTTATTTTTGCACTTAATTTTTATCAAAAATCTTTTACACAGCGGACACGAAAATTCGCAAACGACGAAAACCCGACGGCTTAACAAGAGTTATCAGCACCGTTTTAGCGCATCAAAAGCTAACTAGTAGTTTTTCCCATAAAATACACGCTTACACTGGACTGCTGCTGGGAGCATTCAGAGCTACTTAGTCAAAGCCTTAGGAACTTGACGTTTGGTGGAAGAAACTTTTTACATACACACACACACGCGGCTATTAGTTTGTCTTCAAACGTTGCGCTCAGCGACAATTTCAAAACCGGACTGAATTTGAGTGGCGCGCGACTCGAGACTCTGAGCTGGCTACAGCTAAGTGAGCTGACTATGGCTATTGCTGCGGCAACTCAGCGCTTTGGTGTGTGTGTGAGGCTCAGCGCTGAGTCAAGGGACTAGGCGCACGCACACACAGAAGTTGATGAGTTAAATGCATGTGTGTGCCATGTGTGTGTATTTGTGGCTTAAGCCAGCAAGCAGTTGTGGGCTCATAATGTTGCAACTGCAACTGTGCGGCGTTTTCAACTGCAACTGCAAAGTCAAAACATACCGGTAGGGATGATAAAACTTTAACACACACGAGCAGTGACAGAGCAGAGCCGAGCGACAATCCAGTGGTCAGCTGGTGGACAGCAGGCGGTTGAATGAAGGAAAACCTGCAGACCAGCGTTAGAAGACGTTGTGTGTGTCCCGAGTGTTGAACGGTTGATTGAGTCACTTTTCTCATAATAATGTATAAGCGTGTGTGCGTGTGTTAGTGAGCGCATAGAAAAAGAGTAAGTTTTCACAAGAGACATCATTTGTTTGAAGCCTTCAAGTGCGAGCGAGCCATATAGCTGTGTCTTGGTCTTATCAGTTGAGTAGATTTTCGAGTGTGAGCAGCGTTGATAGCGCGGCATGAGTGTATGATAAAGCGACAGCAGAGACAAGTCGCATACAATCAACAGGCTAACGGATATATCCATTCACTTAATCTCATTTATTGGCTTTTTTCGGCGGTAAGGGTTACTTCTACTGCGATGTGTCCTTTGGTCAGCAGCAGCACCAGCAGCAACCAGTAATAGACAAGTGTTGCTAAAAGCACAAATACAACAAGCGCTTAAGCGGATAATCAGGATATAGAGGAACACCGTTGTTGGCTCTCTAAACAAGTAATATAAGTTTTAGTGGGCGTCTATTGGCCCTTTGGAAGCGTTGTAACGGTAAAATAGTATTTTTGATTATTACATACACTTATATATACATATACTAATTCATATATAGATAATACAAATTTAGGTATATAAAACATACAATATTTTGAGTTCACTTTAGGTTAATTAAAATTTGTTGGCAAACTTTTAGCGAAATTTTCAATTTTGTTGATATAATTTTTAACAAAAAATTACAAATAATGCTTACAAATACAAAATGAAATACTTAAATCTGTAAGCAAAACATTTTTTAATGTTTAATTTTTAAGTGTCGGCATGCGCCGCCTGAAAGTGCGCCACATTTAATCATTAAACACATTTAATTATGGCGATAATTGCGCACATTAACTGTGGCGACCAAAACAAAGCAATGACAAAAGAAAACAAGAAAAAATGTTAACTTCGGTTGCATGGTCGAAGCCATAATACCCTTCACAAATAAAAAGTTTCGAATACAAGAACTTAATTTGCATCGGTCGGTTTGTATGGCAGCTATATGCTATAATGCTTCGATCTGAGCAATTTGTTCGGAGATTGTACCGCTACCTAAGACAATAATCTATCCCAAAGTTCATGAAGATATCTTGTCAACTAAAAAAATTGTCCATACAAGAACTAGATTTGGATCGAACAGTTTGTATATCAGCTATACCCTATAATGGTCCGATGTCGGCAGTTCTGACAAATGATCAGCTGCTTGGGGAGGTAAGTACATGCGTAAAATTTCAGCACGGTATCTCAAAAACTGAGGGATTTGTTTGCGTATATACAGAAGGGTAGACAGATGGACATGACTAAATCGACTCAGCTGTTCAAGGTATAAAAATTAAATAAAATATAATTTACCAACGTGTTTTGGTGCTTGGTCGCGCCATTAAAATTTGGGCGTATGAAACGGGAAACAATAGCGAAAATATGCGCACCAGCTGACGACGCGGAATGCCGCGACGCAAGGAACAAACACAGTCGACTTAGCACATGGCTTTAAAGGTGGTTCTAACATCAAGCAAAAAATAATAAAAATAAAATAAATGAACGAAGTTAAAAAAGCAAGCATTCCGCATGACGATCGACCGAATGCCAGAGCGCGCCGCAATATAACCGCGTCGATCTAAAGCGACGTGCGGTCGACCCAGCGTAGACACTTAAAACAGAAAAGAGGAAGATCGTAAAGCTTGCCAAAGCGATAAAACCTCAGTTTTAGCTTTGTTGTGAAGCTGTGGTTAAAACAAATGCGCTCGGCGCACAGTATGGTAGATAGGTGCAAAGATGTATGTAGTAAAAAAATTGAGGATTTTTGTAAGTTGTGTGGGATTTGGAAAAAAGTATAGGAAAGTGAGTCCTTTCAAATTTTATCAGTCAAATTATATATTTTTGCACCAGTTAGTTGTCTTGAGTTCTTATGGAAAATCAATTCAATTAAAGTAAAAAATATTTTTTCACTATACATAATTTAGAGAAAATCGTTAAGTACCAAGGTGTATAAAGTTTTGTATTTTGTTTTAATTGACTATTCAATTGAAACATTATCGGTTTTAATGCTTCCTTAATTAAGAAAATCTTTCGCGTTCTATACATAAATGTAATATTATATTGTACTTTATACAAATTTTGCCAATATTCGAGATATAATTTAGTTTATTAGAACATTATTGGTACATAAGTATTCAGATGTAGACAATTTGTTTATTGACTTAATTAAGGAACTGTGCTAAAGTCCAAAACTTTAGTTTAGGTTTCTAGGTAATGTTTCTTTTTGTCTCTATTTTTATTATTACAATGACAGGCGTTTGGAATAGTAACTTAATTCAGCCAATTAACACATTTTCTCTATAAGCATTAGTATAGATTAGTTAATTGACTAAATATTCGAAACATTTTCAGAGTTTTTAGGAGTACCGATATATGGGTTTTTCGGTTTTTAATAAAACAATTTTTCTCTTAAAAATAAAGTTTTTTACGTGTGACTCATTGATGTATTTAAAGAAAATGCTGCAGAAAACATCCATCTGATACCGTAACATCACTCCAAAACGTAGCAGTCCTGGTCAATAAAGACTACAACCTTTTGTCTATTTGGTAGTTTGTGTTTATTTATATCGCAAAAAATTTGTCGGTCGATTTTCACCTTCAAAAAAAATTTAACAAGTTTGTTAGAAAATCTGTGTTTCTGAAAAAATCACGGCCACGGAATCGTTGAAATTGTTGCTGAGGTGTTTTTGGGGAGTTTAATTTATCACGAACTCAAGTATTTGAGTGTTACAAAGCATTCAGTGAAAGAGAAAGACGATAACATTGAAATGGTTAAAAAATAGTGCTTGAAAATATGAAGCGTGTCAATGCTAGCCTCGTTCCAAAATTCCTTGAATATTTTGCACAAAAGTTGTCGAGTAGAGGGCGTGAAAGAGATGCTTGATAGCGTAGCTGAGCACCCTACATTTATCAAATGCATCATTGCTGGTGGCGAGACTTGGGTTTATGAAAAAGCCAAAATTCGCCGAAGGTACTGAAGGTCATCCCAGCCAAGGCTTACATATACAATACATAAGTGTTTTGAGAATTGGATTAAGCGTTGGCATCCTTGTATTGACGCAGGCGTCTATTTTTATGGCGATAATTTACCTACGTGAAAATGCAGTTTTTTTGTTTGTTTGTGGTCAGTCCGGGTCAATTTTGATCAGATGCTTGGTGTTTCATGAAAGGATCTTATTTGGTGAAGAAACCGCGGCCTATGTATTGTATATGTAACAAAAAATACTTCAATTCGTATCTAATTATTTTAAAATAGGGAAATCCATGCAAAAATGTTCGAAAAATGGTTTAATCGAAAATCAGCCAAAAACATAGACTACAACTATTTGATGGAAAAAAATGCGGAAAAATGCATGCTGTAAAACTGAAAGCTGTGTATTTTGAAAAATAAAAACCTCATTTGTTGTAAATTTTTCTATGTTTTTCTGAAACTATAACAGTTCACAAAATTTAACATTCAACCGCTATATATCGAAAAATAACCCACTGTAGCACTTAGACTATGAACTGAATTTTTTATAGTCCTTAAACGAATTTTTTAAATGGGGAAATAATTCACCACAGTTTTTTCTATTTCACACATGTTAGTTGTTGTATTGTTTTTGTTTTTGTATTTTGAACATTTGTTATTAGCCCTTTAAAGCTGAGTGGACACACGTGTTGGTGCGTGCAGACAATGGTCTCAATGGCAATGCGCGACAGAAACTTACAAAATATAACAACAACAACGTCACACACAAAACCTACAAAGCGGTGTGTTCCAGCAACACCGGCGAGATTTGTGGCATTTAGAGTGTCATAAAATGGCTTAATTGATTTTATTACACCAGGAGACACTAAAGGGAAGAAATTTGTGGAAAATTAGAAAATTTACGACAACGCAACGCGAACTAAAAAAGGAATGATGCAAGCGAAGGCTTGCTCGTGTAGCTACAAATTTACTCGCATTGCAATATGCAATATTTTTAGTGCACTAATATGCACTTAGTTAGGTGTGTGTGTGTGTGCATTTGGAAATGAGGTTAACGCGCCACGCTGAAGCGCCAATTTCAAACGCCAAGTTGCAGCATCGGGAAAATATACTGAACTTAACCACAAAAAGGCGATTATGGAGTTATTTTAATGACCTCAGCACTGTGCCACACAATGCCAGCAACAACAACAGCAAATGCAAGCAAAAAACGAATGATAGCAACAGTTTGGCGCTGACTGACAGTTGACAATAGTTGCGACATTCGCCAAGTGGCAGCTTTGCCTTGGCTGTGGTGTTGCCATACAAGGCTCGCCTGAGCGGGTGCACTCCGCCAACCACTGCATTTAACGCCGAAAATTCATACTTGCACACACATCTAAACTTAACTGGTCACTCACCAGCAATCGGCCACTGTCAGCACGTTGCTACGCGGCCACGTTTTGCTGCACTTCGCGGAGCTCCGCTGACTGACAATCCACGAGTGATGTGAGGGAGTGATTTCCCAAATCGCGTCGCGGCAAACGACGAAGTCAACTTCATATTTGCATATTACTGACTGACTGCGCGCTCGTGTGTATTTC